CTAAAACCATCGGGAATCACCGGTGAGAAGAAGTCATTTGCCGGTCATTTGTCATTTGCCGGTACAAGACTTCTCGCGTGATGAATGAGTTATTAATAATTTATTTATGTGCAAACTGATTAAAACAATCTTAAGCTATTGGCTTTATTTCGCATCAAACACAAGACAACTTTAAGCAAATAGTGTATAAATAGTATCTAAATGAATTCTAATTCTATTTTTATACAATAAAATAAAACGTACTAAAAGTTACAAAAAATGCCGTGCACACTGCCAAGCGAAATGAGTTCGCGCGCACTCAAAGCGAACTTGAGGACGCGTCGAGTATAAACAAAGACTATACCTTAAAGGGACTTTGGTATAAATCAGCCTTCAGCCCTGCAATAGTGCTTCCACAGAAATGGCAAGAAGGAACAGCAGACAGAGAACATTAAAGTGCCCCTATATGGGTAATGAAAGGTTCATATTTTGGTTTTGGGAGTCCCCAATAACAGGATGACATGCATGCAAGATCAAAAAACACTTTCATTGTCTTATAATATACATTTATTTTTTATCTTACTTGCTCAACGACCCCCAAACGATTCGCTCAACGATTAATTTTTCCAAACCTCTCCTTTGCATGACACTAATCTGCTGTGATTGGTCCAATTGGTCTCATTTCCATTTCAGCATGCCTGTATGGTGTGTTTCCACTGGCATGTAGCGAGCGAAGCAGAGCTAGTGTTTTCAGTTCATTCATATGAAAGTTGAGCTTAAAGGGGTCATATGATGCGATTTCAGTTTTTCCTTTCTCTTTGGAGTGTTACAAGCTCTTGGTGCATAAAGAAGATCTGTAAAGTTGCAAAGACTAAAGTCTCAAATCCAAAGAGATATTCTTTATAAAAGTTAAAACTTGTCCACGCCCTCCTAAAACACCTCGTTTAAACACGCACGCCCCCACGTGTCTACATCACTGTGTGGGAAGATTTGCATAACGCTGCCCAAATGTTCACGCAAAGAAAGAAGGCGTAACTTTTATTCTCGCTGTAGTATTGTTGCCGCCGCCGCCATGTCGTGGAGATGCTGTGTGTTTCATTGTGAAAGCGAAACTACTTTGTTTGGCCTTCCAAAAGAGGACGATATC